AGATTTATGGCGTTTAATTGAATGGTTTTTAATTGGGATTTATGGAACGGAAATTTAGAACTCGTAATTTAAAATCTGCGGACAGCGGGAACGACAATTTATCCAATGTTCTTAAATATCTTAAAACTTCTGTCTATTGCGATGATGATTATATAAATTAAGAATAATAATTAAAGTAATTTCTATAAATAAAATTATTTATGAAGAATGAATTTTCATTATATGAAACAATAAAAATTAACTCAAATCAATCAAGCTTTCATAAATTGCGAACTTCATAATCATTTTATCTAAATTACTCATTACATATGCTTTAAAATGTACTCATAAAGTTATATTCTAGTAAAAATAGTTGTTTATTGCATGTTATTGTTACACAATACTTGACAAGTACTTGTATAAATTATTTGTAATAACGCTTCTGATAAGATTGAACCTATCAAATATTGACAATTTCAATGATAAGTTTGACACACTGCATTTAGTGTTGTTGTTATATCTTTTTTGGATGTCTTCTCGAAGGTAAACAATGACATTTATCAGACGCCCACGCAATTTGTATGTGCCCGAAACACGCGACAGGGGGTCACAGAAATCTAAAATCATAGTGGAAAGTATACGTGAGTAAAACGCCCTCCGCCTTCCTAAGCGCCAAATTCACTTTACCGTTTCAGGACGAGGGCGGCTCTGAAAAATGAAATTCCATATTTCAGCAGTGAACCAAATCAAACCAGATTCATTCTATTTTTATATGAAATTTGATTACATGTTGCATATATATTTTACAAGAATAACTCACACTTATTACAGTTCATTGTTAAAATAAATTAAATAATTGTATGAATTTTATTCTAGCAGCAATTATAGAATCCAGATGATTTCAGGTCGCTGAACTAAGGCAATTTATCGAAGCTGGTGCAAGTCTTAATATAGTTATTACGATTTCTAATTCTTTGTAAAAAGAACCTAATAAATGTACAATTTAACATGAAACAAGAACATTTATTTAAAACAAAAATAGGTTTCATTTATTCCATTCCCCCAATCTATTTTAAGTAAATCGATACATTTTGTTCCGCGAAATGTCTAATAATAACCAATATATATTACATCACCGGATTTACATTGGCAAACCGAAAACGTACATCGAAACGTTTCGATTTATTTACAAACTAATAATAACATAGGATTAATCCGCGAATTATACTCTCACATCATTCATTTGGAGTGGGATGAAACTGCGCTCCATTTCTCTAATTAAAACGAACATCACGATCATCCTTTTGTACTAATTGTTTTGATTGCTTTCATTAATACTAAAATATGCTAAATATAAATAATGATTGAAGCTTTTAATATTTTGTCATCATTACGAAAAACTCGATACTACTAACTAATTCATTAAATAGTGAGTGGTTTTCTTATAAAAGGGCCATAAAAAAAACATTAATTTTGTTGGATATTAAAATTTGAAATCTTCTTCAACTTGATTTGAAACATGACAAATTTTAATATAACTTTGAAGATAGTTCATTGTAAAAAAAACAATTTTTTTTTGAATATTCATATCGATTATAACATAATATCAAAAAAGGTAACGAACAATTAATGGAATTCTCGTTGTATGTAAATTCACAACTATTACCATTTTTCCTTCGAAGCTGCTCAAGCCAACCTTAGGCATTCGGATTGAACATTCAAAACAAACGGAAATGTATACAAATACACCCGTACGTCGTTCTATTAATGGACGCGCACAGTTTTAGACCTGACAGAAAGATCTTAACCTACGAGTAAAGAGTGAACCAAGAAGCAGCACATTTACTACCATCAGCGAAATTAAAATCGAAGACAGGAACTCCGGACAAACATGCATGCAATTGCTTAACCGATAGATACAAAATATTCAAATACCGGTCAAGGTCGAGTCGCTTAGTCACGCATCTATCTCCAAATATAAATAAATATATATAATTTTTTAAATTAAAATTCAATGTCACTTTCCGCACAAGACCCAAAAACAGCGACGGTATTGTTGTTTTGGCTTTTCTGTATAGATGAAAATCTATTCCCGGACGATGAGTAATTCCCGGCTTCCTAGACTCTCTCTCATTGCAGATGGACGCGCTGTAATAATGTTATTTTCAGAGCTTACAACTCGAGCAAAAGTCAGGCTTCGGCAGCAAGAACTTTCAGAGCTAATTGAAATTTAATATTTGATTAGTAATATAGTTACAACATAATGCAAAACGAAGAGAAGCAAACTAATTAAATTTATAGAGCATCAAAGTTACTTAATAAACTTAATTAAGTAAATCAATGGCGCAGCTTCTTGTTATTCTCTAAATTGACTTCCAATTATGCTTACCAATTCTTAACGTAAACATCAAACCTGGAAGCCAAAGTGAAAGTCGATTCATTTAAAATACTTTAAGGAAATGCGTAATTACTAACCGCTGATTTAATTTTGCATACAATTCCTGCAATCTCAACATTCTGTTAGTAATAAATTCTTCTAATAAAACATTATTTGAATCATGTATTACACTTAATTCATTATCAATATTTATGACGAATTCAATTTATTTGGAAATGTGTATGAACTAATTGGGGCACATAATAATTGGCAATCAATGGAACATAAATATCAAATTTAATTATTTGTAATAATTGGATTTAAAGAGTAAATAGTAGTGCGCAGAATTTCAAACTTATTTCACCTATTTATTTATCATCCATACAAATATGGGCAACGGCCAGTATCGAGTTCGTAATATCATGTAAGCTATTCTCCTCAAATGACTCACTTCTGAAGATAGCAATAAAACGGACACATGGCTATAGAATTCACAGCTTTATCAGTCTTTATTTATTTAGTCAAATGAATCAGAGACATTGATATGCAAGTATGAGTTGAAATTGAACCATGAATATTTGTTTTGTAAGTTTTGTTAACTACTTTAAAACATTTTTTTATGACAGCAATTTAGAAGTGAGTTTATAATCTTTAGTAGCAAATATTATCACAATAAAGAATATTACAGAAGCAAAATTACATTATTTAGTGGTAAAAATAACAAATATTATATAATTTAAAAAAAAAAACAATGAAGATCCGAAGAATTTAATAAAATTTAATATATTTCAACCAAAATTATATTGTTTTACAATATTAAATGTATGCAAACATTTCGTGAAAGCAGATTATAGTTTCGTGTATTCTATTTGCGAGTAAGTGAATTGAGCTACAGCTGTTCATTCCCACTAATATCAAAAGCAAATTCAATAGTCGTGCACGCAAATTGCTAAACACAAACACAAAATTAACAACGCTTCCACAAAGTTGATGTTCTATTGACCGATCGGATTACAAATAACAATTATGAAATTACATTAACACCAGTTAATTTTCAAATACAATTATTTCATTAAAACCAAAACTATAGGTATTGTTAAATGTACGAAGTTATAAAAGAGAATATTTCGTGTGATAATAATATCCGAGATAAAAAAAAAATAACCACTGAAAACACAAACCCGGAAGATATAAACCAACTGTAATCTATCGGAAATGTCGGTATTTGATAATTTTATGTAGAAATTAGTTGCCTGGTAAAGTTATGATTAAAAATAATAATACAAAATTTATAGGTTTACTTTAATATAAAGTAGTCATAAATTCTATATCTAATTATTGTATTTTTACATTCATTTGTTTATTACATAAATCTTGATTGTAGTTTAGACAATTAGTAGAAGTATAAGTCGCACTAAGCTCTTACTAGTAAGTTCTATTTTTGTAAGCAATGTCGATATGAAATCTTGCATCAAGATTATTAATAAACTTGGATGTAGGCCGATAACGTTTGGTGCAATTAGTCGCTTATTATCTACGTACAACTGTTAAATATAGAAGAGAAAGAAGTGCATGGGCCATGTGATGCGAGAATCGTGCGCGAGTAAGTAAATAAAAAAAAAGACGATTCAATTAGAACGCGTATAAATATTTACGATGGAGGAAGGGTAAAATTGGTTCTTGTTTAGAGTGGCCGGAATCCAAGCGTACGGGAGGAAACACTGTATATAAGCGAACAGATTTATTATAAGGCGTTAACAAGGGGTTAAAGGGAAATTTCATTAAATTTACAATTATAAAAATATTGTGATATTCATGACTTTGGTAGAAAAATATTGATTGTTGCGATATTTGAGCAAGTTCTCTTAATAACAGATTGAATGCAATTTAATGAAAATTAAATCAAATGAATTAGAATGTTACTTTAACATGGTAATATTCTTATCAATACTACAGTACTCATATAATGTTGCAATCATATGACATACATAAATATCAAATAATCTTAAGAAATAATTATCAATTAAAGAAAGAAGTAAGTTACATTCAATTTAGATTGTATAGAAAACAGTTTTTTTTCAGTAAAATAAACTTATATTTATGCTTCATTAATTGCCAAAGGATGTAAAGGTTAAAATTAAATTAAATTATGCATTAAAATTAGATGTAATGTAGTAAATTCTTGTACTTGAAAAAATTAAACAAATATTGGTATTTTACTTAATGTTATATAATCAAGCAAGTATGCAGTGATTGTAATGCTTGGGTTTATCTTATCAGGTTTATAATAATAACAAACATGTAATTTAAAACCTATGCGCGGAATGTCATGCAAACGGATGGAAACACTATGTAGTATCATTCGGGAGAAGAGGCATCCCTTGGCTCAAACAGGGTGAACCCCCGAGAAGAGCGCACGCACCCGCTGTTCCGGCGTACGATACTCCCCAAACGTCACGAGGGAAAGCCCCTCGTGTTACGACACTGTAGTCAGTGATGAGGAGGAAGCGGCGAAGGGCCGATCGTTGCAGGGAAACACACGGAAGGCCCTCAGCACACGACCCTTCACTATCGATTAGCTGCGAACTCGCATCACGTTGGAAATTAAATTATTAGTAAATTGTATTATGGCACAGATACATACACAAGAGAGAAGCGACACCCGCCCACACGATCTCACTCGCGCTCTCTCACTCGGTGTCACCACTTCTGCTGCAATCAATACGCGCGGGGGCCGCAACAACTGTCAAACTGACAGCTAAAAAAGCACTTGAACAACAATAGCACGGCGATAGGTCCGTATGTCCATAACCTTAAAATGTAAAAAAAAAGGGATCGGTGGTGCGAAGGGATGGCAACCCCCTACACTCTCGACCTAACCTAATTCTCGTTTGGTATTGATGAACGCAGAGGCGATTGTAACTATAGAATTGAGCGATGAGCGAGCGTAGTCGTATGAGATAAGGTATTTATTTTTATCCCATTACGAAGGAGACGGCATCAAAACAGATGCCGAACGGATGCAATGATGGTGAGACTACTGACTGAATGTCGTTCAACGAAGATATCGGAGGAGATGAAAAAATCGTTTCCACTTTTCGTTTCTTTAATTTTTATCAATATAGGGATGAACTTACCTTAGGAATGGTCGCACATTGCACATTTCTACTTGCAGGAACAACACATTTGTTCGCATAAGATTGTTAAACTTTAGTACTTAATACACGCCCAGCTCACTTTAGATTCGACTGACTGACGGCGCCGCCAACGACCGATGCCGAAACTACTGCCTACCAACATACGCCAGCCTTCCAGATCATAGGCGTACCGATTATTTTTGCCTTCGTACTTTTTTTTTTGTTACCACTCTCATAACCATTATTTATCTTCCCACATTCTACGTACTATCTCTCAATATGCGAGTTGCGTAACAAAAATAATGCGTACGACTCAATTCAAACGATTCAGTTGTATCAATCTATTTTACATTGCATTTAGATTACAGTTCAGTCAGATTTAAGTTGTAACATCTAATTTACTATCAATAAAGACTATAGGTCAATTACTTATAGTAAATAAATAAACAAAATCTATATTAACTAAAATAAAACGTGCTCACTAACGAACTTGTTATTTCTTTCCGTATATTAGTTATCGAAAACTTGATTTTTTTGTTTGTGAAAATTCAATTAATCATTTATAAATAAAACTTTATTTTTTTCAATCATAGTGTATTTATTTGGTGATTTCTATTGGTTATTCGTTGTATTATACAATATTTTACATTTTTTTGATTTATAAACTCAAAACAAATAATATTATCTACAATAAATTTTGAAAATATTTTCTTAGATTAACAAATCTTACGTAATATTTACAAACATTGATAATTTATTTAGATAATGATATTTTAATTTGTAGTACATCAAATTAAGTGCAAACTATTTTTTTATTATTTTGTATTTGATACATTTCTTACCAAATATTCGTATTAAAACCAGACAATATTTTGTCTATGTAATTATTTGTTATTATTATGAAACTGATAAGATAATATAGCCTATATAATTTTAACTAATTTGAAATTAATTTACAATTTTAATATTTGCTGCACTTGTATGTAAATATATATTTTATTTACATTTATTGACAGAGACTAATGCTAATCTTTGCTTGATATTTATATGCAATTACTTCTAGTACATTTTATTAATAAAAATATTTTTTTCATTAAAATTCTAAATCAAAACTTTTATTTTCTGCAACGCCAATTTCCGGCACGGCACGAAATTTCCGGACAATACAAAATACTATTTTAAACATATAGATTCTATATTTATATATCATTAATAACAATCTCACGGAATTTAACGATGTTTAAAATAGTGACTAAATTTGGGGTGATTTATACAGGAACGGCGCGAGACGAGTTAAGCGCATTTCTTGGAGTCCTGGCCCTCATGGTGTATTTAACGATTTTGCAACAGTAAAATATTGTTATATAATACATAATGTATTTATAATACTTAATTTCTTTGGAGGCGTTTTTTTTAGCTCCGCACATTTTAAGAACCCTGGACATATGTAGTTTATGAGTATTTTATATAACAGAGGTGGCCAAACTGCGGCTCTTAAGGAGTCAAACACAAGAACAAAACACAAATATTATATATATTTTATATTATGATTGAGATTTTTAAAAAATTATTATAACAAAAAATTTAGGTACGGTTTTTGCTGCAAAAAGTCTGTTTTCTAAAGTTAAAATTTTCTTATACTACTCATATTTTGTAATAACCTTATTGAACGCAATTTTACTTGTTCATTTCTTAAATGCGGGCGTGTTATGTTTACATTGCGATTTCAGTTTATTACTATATTGATGATCAATAAGATATTTAAGCTATGACATAAGGTTTTTATTAATAAATATTATGCAATGCTGTTCGGAATGAATGGCGGCATTTTATAAGTATTAAACTGTCCAATAAATTTGTGTGTTAATATCGAAAAATGTTGAAATGTGAAATGTTTTAATATGTGATAAAATGTGGTTGGATGTGAGCAAGGCGATAAAATGCTAGTTGTGTGCATGGGGACGGTTGAGGTGTGATCATGCATGACGGCTGGATTAATATATAAGTACGTTTATTGTCACCTAAACGGTTCTGGCATTGCCCGGAATATGAATATTAAAAAGGATTTCGTTGCCGTCCTGAAAAGTCGATGTTTATGGTCCTGCTTGACAAGACAAGAGAGTCTTTCCGCATGAGCGGTCCCATAGGGCCATCGTTTGTCAGCGTCCGTGGGGTGGCCAACCCCTACTTTCTAATGGGTTATTTATGGGTGGCGAGGAGCACTTTATTGCTCATTGCCGAACCTCCGTTATTGCGCAAAATAACAACCTACACCCTCGCTCCGAAGACATCTCCATGTTTCGCGAATGACATTCTTCGATGTTGATGTAGACGGATGTAGATGGCGTGTTTCCGGCATGGAATGGTGATGGATCAGATAGATCGGATGGATGGATGAAGTCTTCTTCGCATCGAAGGCTAAGGATAGATTTCTCGTATGCAAAGTGCTTTGGAGGTGACAGGTCTTGTCTTTATGAATGGAAATAGTGGTCTGTGGTGCCGCGTTCCATGCCCCATTTCGTGCCGGACCACCTACGCGTCCCAGCCAACTTTCAATCTTCGTGGGATGAAATCGGTTATTTCCAACACCTACTCGCTTACTACGTTCGCTACATCGATGCGAGGTTGAATGACGAAACTGCGAGACAAACACACTCTTTCCCGCTCTAGGACTAAAGTTTAAACAATATTTGTCTCACTCTCATTCTATTTAATCAAAGCCAGTAATACTAATAACATTAGTACCTGCAATTTATTTAACATTAAATAACTTACATTTTTATTATTCAAGTTAATACAAGTCGCTTTAAAATTCTTATAGTGACAATGACTTTTGGTTACACAATGTTATAACGGTGGCAATCGCAAGCTCGACAACTGAAATCCCGTCTATCGAAATCACGATGTTCGAAATCCCGACGTTCGAAATCCCGAGTGTATTGAAATCCCGACGTTTGGAATCCCGACTATATCGAAATCCCGACTATGTCAAAATCCCGACTGTATCGAAATAAACTAATTTTATTATAGAATATTTCATATTCTTAAATTTTATAATGAATAAGTCAACGAAAAAATATACAATAATTATTAATATTATTTATTGTTATTAAGAATAAATAACAACAATTAATATCGACCTAGGTCTTAAAAATATTTTTTTCAGTATCCGTCTTACCTATTAAAATATAGTACAATAATTTATAAATGTTATTGTAAAAATTATAATAATAAAAGACACTGTCGGGCTTTTGATTGTCGGAATTATGGTAGTCGGGATTTCGAACGTAGGGATTTCAATACACTCGGGATTTCGAATGTCGGGATTTCGATAGACGGTCTTTCGGTTGTCGGGTTTGCGATATAGACCCTGTTATAATGCATAAAATATGAACAATATTGTTTTAATTGGTTTATAACTAATATACAAAGTTAATCAAAATAATTGTAGACAATATTTCAATTACTTCCTTTATATAATATATTTTTTCTAATATGTCATAGAGTACGTTTATGGTTCTCAACTTATTCTAACGCTCTAAATCTGATTGTTTTGGGTTATCCAAAATGATGAAATCCAGACATTAATCGATATTAACCCTACATGACACGTGAAATTGGAGCGATATTAAAAATATCAAAAACAACAATCTAAGTGACAAAAATAACGATATTACCAGTTAGTTTTACTATTCCACTAAAATTGTTGAAGACTAAGTTGTATTACACCATCCATATTATATACCAGACAAAGCACCTTCTGATTCCCATTTATTTGGGTCTTTGCAGAATGTTGTTAACCGCAATAACGTTTAATTTTTAGTCGACATAAAAAATCTTAATAAATTCTTGAAGGATGGAATGTTTAAAGTTGCGTGAAAGATGAAGAAAGGTGTATACATACTTAAAAAAATGGTGATAACGATATTTAAAAGTTTTGATTTGTAAAATTCGTGAAAAATCGGCAATAACTTTGCAAAAAAAACCCTATAACTTACATACATACATTAATATAAGCGTTTTAAACTTATGCCGAAAACTATTAAGAAGTTAACCCTTCAATGCCCGAAGTTTCAAATTTGATACCGGACTTGTAAATTGAATTGTACACTTGCAATTGGTTTGTTTTTAATATTTGGCTGTATGTATGTTACCGTTACATAAACAAAAGTTATATATAAAATATGTATTGTGTTTTTTTTAAGATAATTTGGAAAATCAGGCTTTTAAGGGTTAATTTAGTAGTAAAGACTAAACAATATACGTTATAATCATTTTGTATTATTTTTATTCTCTGGCAAAAAAAAACTGAATAAGTAGAAGGTTGATGAAATGTTAGTTTGATATACATAGAATACTTAAAATCTATGATTTTCCAAATTCTAGATTGCCTAAGCATTGTATAGAATATCGGTATAATAGGTAGAAGACCATATATGGATCAAAAACATGAAAGTGCAAGTTTTTTATTTAGAAAATTTAGTTTTCTTTAGCGGCAAATAAAAATTTGTAGTTAATCTATGTAGTAAATGGTTATAAGTAAATGGTTAAAAAAAATATTATTAAAGCTTTGTACAGCAAGTATTATACTGTAAATAAATTTTGAATTATATGATTGTTTATTGAACAAAATGTAAGTTTTTTTTTCTAATGCTCTATTCTTTCCTGGTGCTTATTATATTTAAATTTTTTAGCTTGAATTTCGTACTGTTAACTTGCGTATTGGATTTTGTTTGCTTATTGAAGTATGTCATTTTCAATGAGTAATAGGAAGTTGAAATAAGTATACTTG